ATTTATACACATTAACAAACATTTATACACACATTCACACACATTTATACACATTAACAAACATTTATACACACATTCACACACATTTATACACATTAACAAACATTTATACACACATTAACAAACATTTATACACACATTCACACATTTATATACACATTAACAAACATTTATACACACATTCACACATTTATATACACATTAACAAACATTTATACACACATTCACACACATTTAAACACATTAACACACATTCACACACATTTATACACACATTAACACACATTCACACACACATTCATTCAGCACTCTACTACATCTCACTACAAAGGTAATACAGGTAAATCAATCTACAGAGACTAGTCTTAAATCACATTCATACACTGATGGGAAACATCAGAGACGGGGGGGGGGGGTCAGTGCCTTGCTCAGGGACACTTCAACATGTGACTGAGCAGTGGGGGGAATCAAACCATTGAAAGAGGATTCCCCTAACCACTCATCCACAGCTGCCCTCAGAAGAAACAAACAGAAAAGAACCCAGCTGAAGTCGTCTCTAACTGATCATTGATGGAAAAACAGAAAATTGGTTTTGAAACGAAGTTCTTACTTGCTGAACCTGCCGGTCTTTGTTTTCTCCTGAACCTGGAAGCAACAACAACAAACAGATACGACTTGATTCAGTTTGACTAAAACAGTTCAAACAGGATAAGAACAAAGAGATCTTTGGAGGCTTTGATTAGAGATGTTGTGAAACATCTTACTGCTGCCTGTGAAGAGTCCACATATGGATCTGGGGTTAAAAGAGAAGAGAAGGCTCTGTGAGGACAAGCAGTCATTCTTTACAGCAGCACTGCAGGAAAGTCCAGTGCAACCAGATGAAAGTGACAGAAAGTAAATGTTKGATTGTTCAGGTACTTTTTACGGCTGCTTTGTGTTTCTTGTCACTGTTGCGCTTTCCCTTCTTCTTGTTGACAGATGTGGCGATGTCCTCGTACATGTTCTCTGTGTCCTCACACCCAAGAGCTGTAGAGTTCCCCTCAGGCCTACGGTGGATAAACAAGAGAAAAGTCGTTAAAAGGTTCTGGTTCATTCGTACTTTTGCCACGTTTTACCTCCATTGCACATTTCATGAGTGCTGAATGTACTCATGTTTGGTCCTGTATGTCACAGGTACCTCTGGGTTCAGTTAGGGTCAGAGGAGAAGACTGAGGGTCAGGATCTGACCTCATTAGCCCATTACCAAACTACACAAGATATTAATGCATTTCAGTTTATTTATACAGCTCCAAGTCACAACATACGTTGTCTCAGGACACTGTAGATAAAAAGAACAATGTAAAGAAGAAAGCAGCAGATTGTGTTGAATCACTTCATCACAGTCTCCCATCCTGAGCAAACGGTGGAGAGGAAAAACTCCCTGCTAATCAGGAAGAAACCTCCAGCCGACATTAAGCACATTGGGCCTCATGCAAGAACCGTTGGTACGCACAGATTTGTTCTTAAGTTGTGCGTACGAGTGATTTA